TCTGAAAAATTAATGTTGTACACATTGTTGTTTTTCCAAACTGAAGGGGAAAGATGTGGAATGAACTCAGTGTGAACAGACCAATCTCATTTTTGCCTGAACTCCAAATGTTCTCAACAGCCTAACTATTGTAATAAGGAAGAAATAGTGTATAGTCTTCAGACTGTATCCATAGGACTGGGGTTTTCCGCAATAAGTGGTTTTATTTTAATTTGCCATAAACAAAATTGCAATCAGGAAAAATCAAAACCTAAACACTTTTTCTGACTCTTTGTTCTTATAGAGTGTATCAAGTTTTGTAAAAGAGAGTCTCTGCAGCAATTAACTTTCAGTGCCATAGAACCACTTTCTACATACCCATTTTTTTTTTTTTTTTTAATGAGCAGGTTATCTTTGTTTTAGGAGATATGGCCCAGCATTCATTGTTGGTTAAGACCTGACCTGGGCACATGACACAATTGCAGGCAATGAGATAGAAGGAAAATTTGCTGGGTCCTTTGGAAGATTGCTTGGCTCTTGCAAGGATATGAAGCAGTGACTGTAGAAATAAAGAGTGAGACCAGACCCACTTTACCCCCTGCGAGAGAGACTTTGGCCAGGTCTCCATTTATCATGAGGCTTCCATAAAACCTTTCTCTAAGCTGTTCATGATGGTGGTGCCTGTAGTGACAGCTCCAGGGGAGGCTGAGCTGGAGGATCAGTAGAGCCCAGAAGTTCAAGTCCAGCCTGGGCAACATAGAGAGATGCCAACTTTCAAAAAGGGAAAAATACCAATCAGTGGACCACAATGGTGATTTGGGTCCTTTGAAATCCATTTTAGTGCAGATCCTTGGTTAGAAATTCTGAGCATTCCTCTTTATTCACTCTGTAGTTACTGTTAAGGGATAGTAAATGACTACCCCTGTGAGAAAGGATCAGGGGCCCCTCCCTTCTATTCTGGGCTTTCAACTTGAACCACCTTAGATCTGGAAACTAGATGAGGAACTGTGATTTTTCCTTCCCATGATTGATGTCAGTCTGCTGCTTG